AACTTATTCTGATAAAACAAGTAAATCTTAACAAATCAAAATTGAGAACAATAATCAAAAGTTGAATAACAAGCAGGCAATCATGAAAAATTGGAAATCAAAGTAGAACAAGTTTAAAATAAGAATAAATATCAACAGTCCAAAAAAAGGGGCCAAAATCGAATTTCAGAACGGCAAATGAGTTCGATTTTGGGGAACAAACTTTAAATGAAGAAGGAGATCAAGGTCAAGATCAGAGCTTGAGATCGAAATATGAAACTACAACTATGACAGTTAAAGGGAGATTAGGACCCAAGGAAAGGAAGCAATAGAAACCAATTGATCAGTAAGGTTCAAAATGAGATAAGATTAGAAGTACAGTAAAAATAACTGACAAACAAAGAAGATACTTGGAATCAAAATATAAAAGAAGGAAGAAGATTGAGTGAGTGGAAGATGAAAGGAGATATAAGATTAGTAAGATACAGCAAAGAAACTTACTTGAAAACTGATAACAAGGCCAAAAATTGAAATGGTATAAGGTTGATAGAGGTGTAGATTGAAAGAGGCTGGGATCGATTTTGATTTGATGGTTCCAAAGGTAGATTGAGTTGTGGTAAAATTGGTGAGATGGTGGGGAAGTCTGATACAAGAAAGATTGATTAGATTTCAATTGAATAAGATAAACAAGTAGAAAGTGGAAATGATAGAAAAAAGGGGGACTTAACTTGGATTGAATCAAGAGTCAATTGATGATCAAGAGAGACCAATTGGATTTGGGGTAGTCAGCTTGAAAAGAGGATAGAAAGCAGATGTTGGCCGATGTGGAAAGCAAATTATATGAGAGCAAATTTAAATCACTTTTTTTCTTTCAAAACTCATACTCATTTTTTATTGGATCATTTCACAAGACTCATACACTTTGAGTTTAGGATTTTCTTTTCTTCAGAATTCACTTGAATCAATTTTTTATTCAAATCAAATCAATAATTTCATTTCATTGTTTTCACTAAAACATCATCTTTGGTACTCAATTGATAATCAACACAAGAAAAAACAATCTAACAAGATCAGATGGAAAGAACAAAATTAAAACAAATACAGCAGATAGAAATAATAATCAATGAAAGGATGGAATAACGATTTGAAACACATGCAACATTAATCAGAAGGGGAAGAGATGATAGAAAGAAAACAGTAAGACAGAACTTACTCACCAGAAGAAAAATAGTTGAATGATATTGATTGAAGATAGCAAAATTAAATTCAAAGAAAATCTATGATTCAATTCAAGAGCAAACAAATTAAATAAATAGTAAGAAGAAAGAAAAAATATAAGAACATTTAGCTAGTTAGTATTGTGTAAGAACAAGACAATGAAAGCAAAAAGGAATGTTGAAATGACTTACCACTTACAAAAATTAAAAATAGAATTGATTGTTCTAAAAAAACCAATCAACAGTAACACAAATGATAAATCTAATTGTTAAAATAGAATCAATCAAATTGAAGATTAAATCAAATTAATAAAATTAAAAATCAAGAACTTACTATGAAATCTACGGAATGCGAGGCGAGTCAAAGTGACAATGCAAAAATTTGAAATTTGAAATTTCAGAATCAGCGGGTGCAAAACTGAAAAAACCTGACAAAACTTTGGATTAAACTCAAATACTGGACTTAAACCACCTGTATTTGGGCAAAAACATATGTTTTTGCCACTTTTGCCACATTTTCCAACCCCAAGTCGAAATTTCACTCATTCCTTGTCACTTTGACACAAATAATACCATAAAATTTCAAAAAAACAAGTTTCGCAAACACAATTTACAAAAACAACAACTCAAAACCTCAACCGATCCACAAAACACCATGTGTAAACCCACCAATCTCACCTACTCCGGAGGGGCCTACCTCAACTCAGAATAACCATCCATCAACACCGAAGAGTTCATCACTACAGAGTTCTTCAACACCTTCATCTCCGGATTACCCTAAAGTCAGGGTCCCACTGAGCGCTTCAATTCACGCACCAAAACTCGCAGTTGAATCTCCAAATCGGTTTTAACGTTTACAAGCTCTAACAACATCCACACTACCCCGACAATATGTTTCTTTTTGTGAACCTGATATGGTGGATTCTTCATCAGATCTTTTGATTCATAGATTCCTACGTCGCCAATCTACGGCCAATCAGCTACCGGAGGGCCTAGGTAGTCAACCTTAAAAGGAAGACCACCTAGGCTCTTAGGTGGTCAACCTTAAAAGGGAGCCCACCTAGTCTCTTAGGTGGTCAACCCTAAAAGGAAGACCACCTAGGTTCTTAGGTGGTCGCCACGGTCGATCAATGACTGATCGACCGTGGCAGGAGGTGTCACAAAGCTGCGACACCTCCTGCGGCCTTTCTACGGTCGATCAGTGAGTGATCGACCGTAGAAAGGTCGCCTAGGAGTCTAGGCAGCTACCTAGACTCCTAGGAGCTCTCCACGGTCGATCAATGACTGATCGACCGTGGCAGGAGGTGTCACAAAGCTGCGACACCTCCTGCGGCCTTTCTACGGTCGATCAGTGAGTGATCGACCGTAGAAAGGTCGCCTAGGAGTCTAGGCAGCTACCTAGACTCCTAGGAGCTCTCCACGGTCGATCAATGACTGATCGACCGTGGCAGGAGGTGTCACAAAGCTGCGACACCTCCTGCGGCCTTTCTACGGTCGATCAGTGAGTGATCGACCGTAGAAAGGTCGCCTAGGAGTCTAGGCAGCTACCTAGACTCCTAGGAGCTCTCCACGGTCGATCAGTCACTGATCGACCGTGGCAGGAGGTGCCACAACTCTGTGACACCTCCTGGGACCTTTCTATGGTCGATCAGTGAGTGATCGACCGTAGAAAGGTCGCCTAGGAGTCTAGGCAGCTACCTAGACTCCTAGGAGATCACCACGGTCAATCAGTGACTGATTGACCGTGGTAGGAGGTGTCACATAGCTTTGACATCTCCTGGGACCTTTCTACGGTCAATCAGTGAGTGATTGACCGTGGATAGGAGACCTAAGGTCCTAGGAGGTCTTCCTATTAAGGTTGACCACCTAGGACAACAGGTCTGGGTCATACGGAGGTATATTTTAATAGGAAGACCTCCTAGGACCTTTGGTGGTCCTTCCCTCAAGTTTTTGGCCTGTAGAAGGGATACCTAACTTCCTAGGTGCTCTTCCTTTTAAGGTTGACCACCTTATGTCCGTACTGAATCAGGCATAAAGTGGTCAACCTTAAAAGGAAGACCACCTAGGAAGTGAGGTCAACACCATAACCTCTCCGCTCAAAAGAGCGTGAGCAGAGCAGTTTTGGAATCTGCTCAATCCTCCGCTACCCAGAGCGGAGCCTGCGCTCCGTGCTCCAAGGGTAGAAAATTCCTGAGCAGAGCATGTTGCTCCTCTCAGAACCAGAGCCTGGGTGGCTTATATTGTTCATTAATCTAGTGCTGAGCAGCAATAGATCAATGTTTTCCAAGATATCTTTTTTTGTAAACTTTTCGGCGGAGTGTGTGATCTGTGCTGAACATGTAGGCCCATGAGAAACGCAACCTTCTACTAAGCTGAGCGTACCTGTACCCACCCGTCATTTAAAAACCACAAGTTGCACCTGGGGTGGTTCCATGTGCAAACCTATTATGTTCAACCACAAGTTGATCGTGTTTGGATCTCTATAAGTTCTTTGCTCATCATGCAGCAAATCCGTCAAATCAATTCCCAAGTTCCATTCATTTGTTTTTTTTTCATCCATTCCTCAGTGCCTCTACTTCAGAAGATAGTGAACCCATAGTGAGAGGTTGTAAGGGAAGCTGCCAGTGACTGGAGGATGTTTGATGTTAGGGGTTGGAATAAGTGACTGAGGGTACCCCCGATTACCAGTCTAGCCTCTTGATTCACACATTTTCCAGTCCTGTCAACTCCCCTTGCACCCTCTTTCTATTCAGGTCATTATCCTCAAGTATTCAACCCAAACTGACTGATTTCTGTCACTGTCAGCTTTGCATTGTGCAGGGTGAGATCCTCAATTTGATTTTGGGTAAGTGACATGACACAACACTGATGTGTTATTTGTCAAACAGATGGCAAAATGTAAATCTGAAGCAAGGAAGGAGAAACATGCTGTCAAGAGAGCCCAGTATCACAAGTTCAGATCTTCCAAGTATAAAGAAGAGAAAAAAATGAGTTGCATGATGCTGAATGTGAAGCTGTGAGAAGTCAAACAAGGGATCTGATATATACAATTGAACCGGTGCACATCAGCCGTTAGCAGTACTGATCTATATGTACGTGATAGCACCTGTCTTGCCCATCCTGTGTATGTAGTCACTTATTTGAGTTATTTGTAATTAATGTAGAAGATTACAGGTCATATTACATATGATTCTCTCTTTTACATGAGCTGTTAGCTGAGCAGCTCTATATGTACAAGATAGCTCCGGACTGGGTCATCCTGGTGCACATATGTAGTGGGGTGCTATGCCTCCTTTGTGCAGTCAGTGACCAATCCTAGCTACCGCCCGGCGGCCATGAGGGCTCAAGGTTGGGGCGCATTGGGGCGCAATTGGGTGGGTGCGCCCCAATACTTTTGCCATGAGCCATGAGCCCCCTAAAATTGGGGCGCAATTTTACAAAAGTCCGCCGAAAAACCATTTTCGGCGGACTTTTCTCATATGTGTGTTAAGTCAATTTCACCCAACCAGCTTCCACTAATTCTCACGGACAATGAATCTAACATCATTGATTGATGTTACTCAGGACTGCTAGACATGTCCCATCCTGACTCACAGCACTATGTGTTACATGTAGGTCATATGTGTACATCACGCCACGGACCAGAGCCAGATCAAAGTAGGCATGGTACCTAGCCTGAGGGAAGAGCACAGGTATGGGGTTAATGGTTCCCTCCACAGGTTGCCAGAACAGTGGTGGCATCACACATTTATACAACAGTGCAAAGGTGTGGTATATGAACTAAGAGCCCTGTGTACCAGCACAGGGACTATAGTCTAGTGGTTAGCACGCTTGGCTGCACTGACAAAGAGGTGTAGGACCTGGGTTCGAATCCCAGGTGTAACACTTTTGGAAGTCAGCTCGCTTGATGTGTGACAGGCCGTACAGGTTGACCTGTGATTGTTCAGTCATGACATGTCACTGGCAACCACAAGTTGACCTACCATGATGAGGACTTGATTTGCATTAAAGGCGGCCTTGACCAGCTCCAACCCCCAATTCGATTTCATTCCCAGACCTCATTATTTCCCTTCATCCACTTCATTATCAACAAAATCGAAATACTTCCAAGTCCAATCACCACATCATCAACAAAAACTTCTCCACATCAACTAACAATACAGCAACTCAGCAATCCAGTAAGTCATCACCTCGATTTCAAAATCTCCGCTTGCCACTGACCCCTCCAATAAGCTACTCAGCATCAATAGAATGTCTCAGGTAAGAACACTCCCATGATCCATCCTGTAAGCATCTAAAGATTGCCATAACTAACAGTCTCCCACCAATGACCATGTAGGCAATGCAGCAAGTCGACTCACAGGAAAGACCTGTAACTCCAGTACCAGCCTCTGGTGACAAGGTCAGTATTGAAAGATGCTCAGCATTAGCCCATTACTAACCTCTCTTCTGAGTGTTTGTCTGCACACAGAGGCTCTCTCAAGTCATAGGCCAGATCCGCCAGCCCAAGAACAGCGAGTCGAAAGGCGAAACCGGGGATGTATCGATGGCCAGTGTGAGTGATTTCAAAATCGATCCAGGAGGTACCATGTCATTTACTGATATACTGTGTTGCTAGGACCATGAAAGCGAAGGTGCAACCGACGAAGAAAATGAAAGCGATAGCAATGCAGAGATTGAAATCGCGAGTGGACAAGACAAGAGTGGCGCGATCCCCCAAGCCTACATTGACAGGCTGAGTAAGATAAAGATTCCCAAGATGAAGCGGGCTCCGTCCGAGGTGAGCAATATTTTCTTAAGCTATGTGAAAAGCCCGCCGAAGTCTCGTTTTCGGCGGGCTTTTCAAACTCTTTCACTATCTTTCTCCATCCTCATCGACCCTGTAGCTTGAAAGCCCGCCGAATTTGATAATTCGGCGGCCTTTCCCTTCCCTCTCACATATAAATGAGGCGGACATGTCTAAAGCCCGCCAAGATTGATTTCTCGGCGTGCTTCTTGTCTTTTTCCACCTCGCATTTCGTATGCAAAAGCCCGCCGAGAATCGTTTTTCGGCGGACTGTCATTATCTCATTCTTGTCCCTGATTTTGTATTACCTTTATGCACACTGACATCTACGATTTTGTATTTGCAGGAATTGAGCTCATCTCAAGCGGTGCGCAAAATGAAAGTAGCCAGCGCTTTGGCTCGTTTTCAAAGATGTAAGTAGTTGTTTCAGTGGCTATCCAATCGATGCTTCAATAGTTGACCACTTCGCTCCACAGTCAAAGCGATACACGAAGAATCTTTGAAGGCATTCAAAGATTTTCAAGATAGCACTAAGGACGAAGATGATCCTATCGATTTCGATGGTGAAATCGACTTGATGATGACGGCCCTCTCGCTTTCCGATCAAGCGTTGAAGAAGAGGGAGGAGCGGTTGAATGTGGCCATTACTGAGGGACAGGATGAGATTGAAATCATTCCGTTCCACAATCCGATTCCTCAAGCGTCAAATCCTCATTTAAAAAGGCCCGCTGGTACTTCCAGCAAGAAAAGTAAGTGTTTGGCACTTGTTTTCGCATTTCACCCCATCTGATCACCTTGCCTTGTAGGTCGAGGCGCTTCGGTCAAACGCTACTTAGATTTGGAGGCAGGTGTAAGTGAAAAGGAGGTTCAGGAAGAGGGCTGTGGTGGTAAGAAGAAAAGGAGGAAAGTAGAATACAAGAGCGAAGAGTTTGTTTACGACGATGGCGACTCTTGTGGCGACTCTAATGGTTCAAGCCAGTCTGAGGAAGAAAGTGAGGAAGAAGAAATTCGAGGGCCTGATGCGATTCAAGGTGAGGTCGTGAATGCGAAGGATGCGAATGGAAAAGGCAAGGAGGTTGCGAATGCGAAAGCGACATCTGCGAAGGCCCCTCCACCTGAAGACCTTCCTATCTCACCTAGCTCAATCTTCCACAACTCGGACTCGATCTTGGATGTCAGTAGTAAGTTATTTCTCTGTATTCAATTCTCCTATAAAGCCCGCCGAAATTCCTATTTCGGCGGGCTTTTTTATTTCTTCCTATGCCTCTTTCCTCAAAGCCCGCCGAAATTCCTATTTCGGCGGGCTTTTTTCTTTCTTCCTATGCCTCTTTCCTCAAAGCCCACCGAGAATGCGTTTTCGGCGGGCTTCTTATCACATATGGATATTTGCTGACATTGAATCATGTATACATCAGAGCTCATTCAGAACCCTACATCGGACGAAGTCCGATTCCTTCGAGATGGAGCGGCCACTTTGGCGACGACTCAGTTCGACTGGGGCGAAGCTTTGAAGGAGTCTGTAATAGGGGTTATTTCGAGCTGGAGGTATCATGAGAACAGTCAGCTTGGTCAGCCCACTCATGAGAAGCTGCAGCCTCTGGTGGTGTTGCTCAAGAGGAAGGTGAATGAAAAGGATACACCCAAAGTCATCCAAGCTTGTAAGTTTTTTTCGCTCATGTAATTTTTGATACCTTGACTTATATTTGGAAGCTTCTGCAACAGGTCCTAGATTATTGCAAGTGGCTGCAACTGATCCCTACCTCACAGAGTCTTCGATAAACTGGCAATTGATACAAGATTCAACTCGTTACCCCTGGGATTCTAGACACCGGATTTTTCGAGCCTTCCACTCCATGGCCTGCCGGACTTCTAAAGCTACTGTTTGGACTACTGAGAAGGATATTAAAAATAAGTTGAGAACTGCTCATAAGACCATTCATAGAATTTTTGAAGAAAGTGTAGAACTTATCTCTTATAATGCTAAATCTGAAAATATTGAAATTAAGACTCAAGGTGAACATAAGGTGGCAGCTAGTATGGTGCCAATGTCTCAAAGCATTGCTTGGGCTTGGCAGCAATGTATGATGAAGGCTATGGAGGAACAGGAAGTCAAATCAAGTAAGGTTCATCCTTTGGGTATTGGTTGGCTTCAAAAACGCTTTTTGCTGGTTCTCACTGGTGTAATGTTGATTTATGAGAGGGATGTTTATAATAGACAGCTTAAGATGTATTGCAAGGTCAAAAGAACTCCTACTCAGATTACAGCTAGAAGGAATGAGCTCAAAGGATCAGTATTACATCAACTCTCTTCAGATTATATCCGCAAAAATCCTGTCAAAGCTATAGCTGGTCTTAAGAAAAATCAAGTCCCCTCAAGTGATGCATTAGCTAAGGTTACTGAAAAAGAAATTCAATCTGCTGCAAATGATGAAACATTCAATTTTAGAAGACAAGCAATTCAAGCTTTAGCACTCTTTCTTATGTTTGGTACTTCTGGTTTATTTCATGTTTGGGTTTGGTACAGGGAGCAAAAGATGACAGATGCTGCTTTAATGATTCATATGTCAAGTATTCTAGCTCAAAGAAGAACTCAAGCCTCAACATCAGAACCTCATGTCTTTTATCAAAGGTCTTGGAGTAGATTAGATCATCATTTATTTACTATACTCAGAGAATTTATTGATGATAAAGGTGATTTCAAGCGCAAAATTCAATGGCCTGAGTTGACTAGAATGTTCCATGATAGATTTTCCCCTACTTCTCTTGCTTATCTTTATACTTTGGACTTGTGTTTGGAGTTGCATGCTCCTCTTTCCTCAAGAGGGCCTGATGGTTCAGTAGCTCCTGATTTTGACTCTAACAGCAAGAATCAAGGTCAAGCTTTAATTCCCATCACTGAGCCTTTCAGATCTGTCTGGGCTACAACTGAGGGTAAGGCTGTCCCTGTTACTGACCCTCAAGCTATGTATAAGGAGGCTGATGGATCAAGAGTCACCAAGAAGCATCCTTTGAAGACTATTGCTCAAGCTAAGGAGAAGGCTAGGGAGGAAATTGTTGATGGTGGTAATGAGGAGGGATCTTTGGCTGAGGATGAATAGTCTTGTGTTTTGCTTATCTTTTGTTTTCTTTATTTCTGATTTGTTTACCAACTTGTGTCACTCTTTATGCTCTTTTTTCATTGGTTTCATGTAATCTTGAAATCAAAGGTTATCTGAATTGATCACTCTTTTACATCATTCAACTCACTCAACATACCCTTCTCTGTACTTCCAGGGAGACATGATGAGTGCTGTACTGAGGTTGATCATTGTACACCTGAGCCATGAGGGCAACATTACATGTATGCATCATGCTGAGTAGCTTGATAGCCATCAAGTACATAGAGGTATACTCTGTCCCCACCCCATTGGATAAGTCAATAATATGTGAGCCACTGTGTAACTGTGTCAAGTTGCACAGAATTCTCACTGATTCTGGCTACATACATCTCCAAAGCTCCTGAGCCAACACTGTGGTTGCAGTACAATAGTAACAAATAAAATGCTGCTGGTATTTCATCAGTCTATGTAGTGTAATCAGGCTGAATTGTCACTGTACATGATATGGATTTTCACATGTGATATCTGTACATGATGGTACGCATATGTAGTTTGTGTAATGGCTTCAGTGTGTGTAGTGATCAATATAGTCAGGGATACTCGCAATGGTAGCCCTCTGATGAATTGGATGATTACAGGTCAAATACATACATAGGGCCGGATAAAAAAAAGTCCGCCGAAAATGGGTGTTCGGCGGACTTTTTCTTCCTGATCTCAGGTCGTGTGAATGCAAACGCATGTAATACTGTGATATCTCAATGGATTGTGTAGGACTGCGCATGGTAATGGATTTGGTATTTCTAGCGTGACACTACTGAAAGTCCGCCATCATGTGAGACGGCGTGGCGCATATTGTCTGACAAATTGCCACTCTCCACGTGGAAGAGATTGTGTTCTCAATGTTCTCAACAGGGGTAACACACAAGCCCTTGGCGTTGGAGTTCATAGGTGCGCAGCCGCAGCCGCAGCCGGAACCGCAGCAGTTAGGTTTCAAATACAGC